TACTGGAGAAACTTCTAAGGTGTGTCCTTAGTTTTGATATATATTACTAGTTTGATGTAAATTAGACATGGTGGCTAAATCTTTTAGCGAACACATTACAGGAAGAAGCAACAAAACTGATTGTGTCCGATGTCAATCACTTAAACAAGCTGCTTCACTTGTCAAATACATCGGAAGCTCTGAATCTTGAAAGATCTTTACTTAAAGGATTCATGATTGGCTTTGCTTGGAAAGATCTTATCTCGTCGATGCAGATTTGCAACAGTGTCGAGATTTCTCATCCAGCAAAGTCTCTTCAGTTTCATATTGATGACCAAGCAAAAGAGTCACTAGAAAATGCTATAAATTGGCTTGCCCTTCACATGATGTCTGACCAGACACAACCTGCATTGATCTTCAGTAACTGGGACAAACTTGACCGAGAAACGAAGAACAATATCATATACTTTGCAAGAAAGAAAAGCCAGACGCTCAAGGCCTACAATGAGGTCTCTGCCTCTGCCTCTCTTAAGTTTTATCTTCTTTTTCTTCCTAGAAATTAAGTTCCTCAGTTTTTGATACCTATAGATGCTTATTGGTATGACAATACAGGGTGATAATTCGAAGCCTTTTTCGTCTCATAATATTCCTCTTTCCGGTGAAGTACCAACATGGGACAAGACGTTAGACCCTAAGGTGCCTCAAGATTGGCCTCATCGTGCTCATAGACGCGCCATGTCATTTCATGACAACAGAGAACGAGTTTACCCTTTGCCTTGTAAGTTCATGTCATGGCACAGACCTGAAAATATGATGTCTGACTAGTCAGTAACGATTTAATTTTTTCTTTAATTGCAGATGAAATAGACCCTTTTGCCTCGGTCACAACCCAAGGGAGCAATGGATTTGCTGTGAAGAGAAAACATGAGAATAAGAAGCGAATTCAACTCCCGAGTTGCATTTCTTCTCTATGTTACCGTTTCAAGTGTTGTTTTTTGCCTTACATGCGGAACAAAAGATGATCCGGAGGATTTGTCGACATGATCCTTCCTTTTATTGCAACGACTGTTGTGGAATATTCTTTCTTTTGCTTGAGCTTGTCTTGTTTACCTTTTCGCGATTGTTATCGTACTAATTTTACGTTAAAAAAAAAAAAAAAGATCAGTTAATAAAAGAGATGCCCAAATAGTCATCTGCGACTAAACATTTGATATGTGTATGTAATATCTCCGTTAAGTAAGCGCTCTTACTTAAAGGATCAATGCTATATTGAGGTTAACAAAACATGAACTCCAATCTGATATCAAATCATTCTAGTTGCTAGGCAAATGGACCCTTGTGTGCATTTGGACCGCGTTCATATATCATTTGGTCAATAAGGAAAAAACAAAAATAAAGATCGGTACTGCGTTGAGAAAATATTTTTAATGACCAAAAACACCAAAAGACTTCATTGGTTTAACATCCAACCAACATTACAGCACATTCTTCTAATAAACAATTTTCCGTATAACGACGACCTTTTTGTTTTTTTTGGGTCAATTTCCGCATATCAAGAGTGTGGAATCTGATTACGTGTCCAGCAAATGTGGGTAAAGAAAGAACGACAAAAAATAGTTTCTAATAACATTAAATTTGATCTTGATTTCCAGAACTATTAAATTACACAGGCTAATAAAGTTTCAACTCATCATCATAAAATCGCAGATGATGATGGCACATTGGCTATTCGTCATTGCAAAATTATTTCAGGACTCAACTGAGATGAAAATGTGGACTATGTATGATGCTCACCTGAATGGTTAACTCATTTTTATACATTTGGTATGTAGTTTAATAGCTGGATTTATTTTAATTTGTCTTCTCTCGATGATACGTTGCACTTGTTTGATTGAATATGAAATAAATAGGAAGGAGAGCATGTGACCCATTTTCTATCCAACTGGATTGAATATTTTTCTAACATA